CTGAGTTCAATATCAGTTATAGTTCAGTCTTACTCTCGTATTGTGGTGGAGAAGGCAGTTAATTGATTATTAGTCTTTCTGATGTGAGCCTTTTAAAGTATGTGAGCAACAAGTTTACTGAGGGCCTATTTTGTGGATAGATAGATTGTGGAAGAAGTATGATTAGGAGATGGAAACAGCATCCTGGCTATTTAAGGCAGAATGAATGCATAAAAGATGAGGGCAAACATAGAGGCATATCTTGGTGCAAGACTTAGCAGGTGAAGAAAATGAATTTAAACTGATAGGTCAGGCTCAGAGAGGAGATTGAGAGGTTAAAACTGAGGTGATAAAATTTGAAGGATGGCTGAAGTGATTATTGAACTGAGGAAAAGCAGTGGTATCAGATGGTTTCGGTGCAGTGACGATCAAAATGGTCATTTAGACCACAGGCAGGCAGTAGGGAATAAGACAGAAGACAGTGTGTGTCCATTAGCTCCTACAGAATCTTTACTTCCCTGACCCCAAACACAAAGTAATCCCATGTCCTACCACAATCCGGTACCAAGTGCAGCTCAGGCGTGATGAAAAATTGATCCCCAAGAGATTAGCCGCATGTGTTTTACACAGATGTAATTCTGTGGCCTTCAGCAGTTTTATTTTGGGTTTATGACTGGAACCCATTCTGTAGGCACAGAAAAGTGGAAAGAAGCAGCTAAGGCTCCCTCTGTACTTGCAACTCATCAGCGCATGCCCTTGCCCAGATTTGGCCCATGTCAACCAACGCTTCCCTAGGTAATGTCTCCTTAGCAGGGTAAGGAGCAGCACAAGGCAGGGTGCACTCCTGGCAGGCATCCAGCCTGTTCGGGGGACAAAAGTTGTGCCATGCCAACTTGATCTCAGGCACTGGCCCATGTCATTTCCCACCATCCATGTAGGTAGCCTCAGGGTGGAAAGAGCCATCTGGATCTGTCCATCTGGTTCCAGCTCAGCAATGTCTCCTCATGTTTCCAAGCCTAAGTCTGGAGAACTTCAGCTGTGAAAGGTTCCTATCACAGCCTTGGGTGTTGTCTGTGCGGTGTTGCACTGGAATGCACGACGAGATTCATCACATTTTTAAAAAAGAAAAGGAGATACTAGATGTAAATGACAGATTGTGCTCTCCTATTTATTCAGATCACAGCATCGTTTTACTGTACATTCAGCTTTCACAGAAGCAAACATCTCTCCACTTTTAAAGCCTACCATTTTTGTCACTATTTTGAGCCCTGTTGAGAGTGAAGACTTCTCCCACTATTTATTAGTTTCAGTTTCAGAGGCAGGTTTTTTGCTTTCTCTTCAGACTAGTCTGTGATGCAGTAGTTTATGTATTGAAATAGGATTTTGACCAGTAATTGTGTCCCTTGTCTGTGGACTGTGTGTTCCATTCATTGTTTAAAACCTTAAATTGTAAATCATCCTATTATCATAACCTCATCTTTGTTTGCCCATCGCAATATTCCATGCTAAGACTACTATTTTCCTCCATGTCTGCTGGTGTAGAACATTCTACCAGTAGGCCTACCTTGAGTAAAGGGGAAGCTGAAACACTGTGGACCTATGAGACAGAGGAGATGAATGATATAAAATGAATGCACGCATTTTATGACATTTGAATTTCAGCATGAGCAAGAATTCTGTGATAATCTGCCTGACTTCATTACCACGAGATATGAAGGTTGCTGCCATGCTCATCAATGAAGGATATGCTTTTCATTTTTATGGTCAATAATAAAAATGGTAATTTCTAGGAAAAATGTAAACTGAATAAACAAAAACCATGTATGGTCTGTTGCTGAAGGAATAATATGACCTTGAAGTACAGTTCAACCTCATACAAAGGTTGTCTTTGTAATAGTGCAAGAGCCGCCGAGACTTTAGATTAATTTATACTTCATAAATGCAGAATACAAAAATTGAATCTCTTCTAGGGCTGAAGGAACTGACAGTAGCCTTTTCAAAAGACAGTCTAAACAATGCATCAGTGATGTGAATAGGTATAGTTATAAAATACAAAGAAATAAGAAGTCCTCATGCTTAGGAAGTAAACTAATCACTGAGAGCTACTCATGTCCCTCGTGCAGATTCATAAACCTAAGGGAATCCCAAAGGAATTCTAAGTTTCTTTGAAAGATTTGCAATTGATCCTATTCAAAACAGAATACAGCTCTTTTGCAGGATCGAAATTATAACTTTTTTGTTCTCTCTACAGGCTCATCTAGACAACAGGCTCACTAACACTAACAAATGTATTCATATAGGCTAGCTACAGGACAGAAATTAATTCTAATCCTAATTCTACTGGATAATTGAAGCAGAAAGAGATTTTCTGAATTGTTGAGATTTACACAGCAATTCTTACGAAAAAGTCAGAATCTGATTTCTTGATCCCGTTGCATGACCTTTCCTTTTCATTTTGAAAAAAAAATTTAAAAATTCTTCTTTTTTTCTCAAACACACCAAATCCATAAATGTTTAGTCAAGTTTAACCTACAACTAAAATTTTAGTCTAGTTTTGGGCAGAGCTTATGAGAATAATGCTGAATTCTTGCAAGGGAGAAATAAAGTTATGCATTTTATTTTCTTTGGATTGTTCTATAAGTGTTTATGAATATGTAAGTACACGATAGAACTTTGGAATAAATGAATAGCTTCTTTTTCAAAAATACTGAACTACATTTTCAATGTAAAGCTTCTTTATTATGAAGTTAACAGTAAGATCTCCTGGTTACTTACATGAAGGTAAGGGATCCTTCAGAATATTTTTGTTATAAGTTTCATTTGATTTCTTACTCCTGTGCAGCCAAATTAGAGGACAGGCATATGAGTTATACAATATAGGCAGATCATGTGAGCAAAGTCTCCATGGAAACTGCCTAATTTGTGCTTTTATTTAATTAGAGTTGTCCATTACCTCTCCAAATGAAATTTAATTTAAATTCATATGCCAGTCATTTTTTAAATTGTGTATGACTTTTTATCCGTCACTTAACGAGATCTCTAGTAGGCTGTATTTCAGCAAAGTGAGTTTATTTAACAATTTGAGTTTATAAACAAGATGTTTATTTGACAGCTCAGCTTACCCAACATTCGTAACATCCTCAGGACTTGTTTCCCTTTCAATATCTGTGCTATACTACTCACTGTTACCAATTCTATATTATTAACCTCACAAATTGTCAAAACCAGGAACAATTTTTTTGAGAGTACCCATTGTTTGCTGTGAGATAATTGGGAAAAAATCATAGTGCAAATAAAAAGTGAATATACAAAGAAATATACAAAATGCATGAATTTGTTAAATGGAGGATTGAAACAGGCAAAACAGCATGTCTGCTGTAAGCTGAACCACAAAAACCAGCTTGTCTGATACAGGGATTGAGGTACTCTTGTCTGAAGTGATTCAAACTTACGGGAGTGTCTGCCTGAGGAAATGAGGAACTTTAACTGATGTTATTTAAGTCCTCAGTCCTCAGTCGTGCACTACAGAAACGTGGTCTGCCATACCTGATTGTGTTTTTCTCTGAGGAATTGCTGGTTGAACGTATATGGAGAGGCTGTGGAGGACTCTATTCTTTGGCTGTTCTGTTGAGGTGTCTGTGCTTGTACCACAGATGGTAAGAAAAAGCACAGTGGGACGATGTATATACTCAAACAACTTCCACTCAGCTGAGACACCAGCCAATACGGATAATCAGGCAACAATATTTAAAAGAAAAATTTAAAAGGATAGTAGTGTGTGCTTAGATGAAACATGCTATTTTGATATTTTTTACCCTAATCTAGGTGTTCTCAAGCCAATCTTACACCTTAAGGAGGTGTTACTGAGCTGGTTTTCCATGCGCAGAGCTCAGTGTTAGACCTATCGGAGTGAGGTGCCGGGTCCAAGTGAATGTGGACGCCGGGAGGAGGAGAGGGCAATGCAGAGTGCAACCAGCTGCAGCTCGGAGCGCTGTGGGCAGGGTGGCTGGGAGCCACACGCAGGACACCCGGCGGGTCTCCCCGTACCTCCCTGCAGTCCTACAGCAGGGACACATCATCTGAGCTGAAGTTATGGGAGACCTTATAGCGGCCTTTCAATACTTGAAGGGTGCCTATAGAAGAGCTGGGGAGGGACTCTTTGCCAGGAAGTGTAGTGATAGGACAAGGGGAAATGGTTTTAAATTGGAAGAAAAAAGATTCAGATTAGATCTCAGGAAGAAATTTTTTACTATGTGGGTGGTGAGACACTGGAACAGGTTGCCCAGGGAAGTTGTGGATGCCCCATCCCTGGAAGTGTTCAAGGCCAGGCTGGATGTGGCCTTGAGCAACCTGCTCTAGTGGGAGGTGTCCCTGCCCATGGCAGGGGGGTTGGAACTCGATGATCTTTGACGTCCCTTCCAACCCTAACCATTCTGTGATTCTATGATTCTAAGTACCCTCCCACAATTACAGAAGTTGTCTCTGGCACAGTAGTTACGTGTTAGTTATAAGGGAAAGTCACCATCGCAGTGTTGTCAGAGTTCAGAGCTGCCGAACCAAAATGGCTGTGAATAAAAGGGAGAGAAAATGGCCTGAGAATCACGAGTGGCATTTTTATCACCAGAGGTGGGAAGTGCTGAGGGTACAGCTGGAGGACTAACAAGATGGTTCTTCCTGGGATAAATACATTAAGGCTAAAAGGCGGTAGAATTCAATGTGACTAAGCAAAGCTGAAAAGAACAATGTAAAAGATGTTTTAAAAGAAGGCATTTATGAATATTATAATACCGGTGATGTGAAAATATCTGGCAAAATTAAAAAAAAAATAAATAGAACAACACTAGGACAACTGGCAAAGATTAATAGATACTGCAATAACAGCACCTCAACAGCTTCACAGTATGAGATCCTGAATGGTAATCGGTATCACTAAGTGGATTTAAAAATTAGTGGGGAGTTTGTGTCTGGATATACAAAAATATCGGAGTTATTAAATAGCTACTTTGTTTCTGTCTTTTCAGAAGAAGAGGGTGGCGATCTGCTCAAGTCGGGCTTCAGTTTTCCAGGGACGCCAGAGGAGGAGCTAGGTACAGATACCATCTCGTAGATAACTCTTACTGCTTGTTCATCCAGAGCCTGGGGGCAGCTGTGGGGGCGAGGAGGCAGGGGACTGCTCTGGGACAGCCTTTTTCCAGCCGCAGAGCCCGCGCCGGGCACAGGCATGGCACCAGGCGGTGCTCGGGAGAGTGGCCAAAAACCACTCAGCCCAAGCCTTCTGGGCACTTCTCACCTTCTATTTAAGGTTAGAGGATTGAAAGCAGAGAAAACATCGGATTTGGGTAACATCCAGGCAACCACGAATTCAAAAGAAGGTGTTCAAGGAAATTATCAACTTTCCTTCTTTTGCCTTTTTTGTCTTACCCCTTAGAAAACATAATAATTGCGGAAAGAGTTTTCAATGTTACCTTTTAAATGAAAAAATAATAATAACAGAAAGAAGAAAAAAACAGAAACTCATAGAGCCCATGAGTGAAATCTTGATACCTCTGTCTCACAAAGCCAGCAGTAAAATGTCCCACTGGCTTCACTGTAGACAGATTTATACCTTTTAGACTGTGCAAAATTGAGTTTCTGTTCCCGGAATTTCATATTCAGATTGTCACTGTTTTATGTGAAATCCATCAAAATTTTGATTTGTATGCAATTACTTCATGTGGCTATTTTTAGAAGAGAAATATGGAAAGTGGTTTCTGTGTGTTTGCTACTTAAAGCTCCCTTTATTCAAAGTGAGCATACTTACATATCAGAAGTTAGTGTGACAGTAATTTTTCTCCTTTTATGCATACGTTCATATTAATTCATTGCAACAGTTTATTTTATGTTATTAGAATCTGTTCGTATTTGGCAAGAATATTATAAGCTCTCATCCTGACCTTATTGTTGCACATTGATAGGAAGATAAATCATAGTTGCTATATTAAGGGAAAAAGGCAAACAGTTTGAACAAGGAGCAGAAATTCAGGCAGGGCATGACATTATATTTAAATAATCTCTCAGAACAGGATTTTCTAAAGAGCGTTGGTGCTCATCTACACTCAAGTCAGGGAGTTCCATAAATGTTCAGTTTAAAAATACCTGCATTGTACTTGTTTGTCCACTTAATACTAAAAAACAAATGGAAAAAAGCTACGGGGTAAGTTCCAAAGATCAGAGAGAAGGATGTGTTAAGGAAGAGACTGAAGAACTTTCAGGCAGTTTCTGCCTTAATCAAAATAGTATAAGAGGGAAGATATGGTTAAACAGGAGGGTCCCTAGGAATCTCTCCATAGGAATCCTATGGAGGAGTCATGGGATGAGCACCTCTCTCAGCCTTCTTGGGCATTTGGGGTTTTTTCGCCCTGCTGCCCCATTTCACAGCACAAAGGTAGGAGTTCAGGTGCCCCGAGGTAGAATTCATCTCATCTAACAGTTGGAAAGTAAATCAGATGTAGATGTCTAAACTGTAGATATCTGGACTTCCTTTAGAGTCAATGAAGAGTGATAGACTTTTCTAGGACATAGCAGATTTGGCCTACTTTAGAAGCTTAACTTAGGGTGAGATGAATCATGCCCCACAAGTATGTCAAAATTGTTCTTCTTCCCATTTGGTTGAGAAATAACTGCAGAATTTCTGAAGCCTGAGTAAATGATGTATAAATCACTAGTATTAAATGTCAGGTGTCTACAGGACTAAGGACCCTCATATAAAAAAGGTAATCAAAGATTAACACAAAGATATGTGCTAAACTAATCAATATACCAGCACCCTGATTAGGAAGAAGATGGGGTATTAGTCAACAGAAATGAGGAACAGAAAAGTAAAAAATAAGAACAAAATCACAACCAGACTTCAAAAAGGCCTAGCTGCTTTCAAAAACTTCACCTATTTATGGCCAGAGGACTGAAAAAAAAAAAAAATATATATATACACTAAAACCAAGGAAAGATCTGTCCTTGCTCCTAAATTTTGGGTCACTGTTGAGATCCTCTGACTCTGAAAGTAAAGTACCAAAGATCGCTAAGTAATGAATGGAGAGAGGTGGTTGGCTTTAATATTTCCAGAAGGAAAGCCTGTCCTCTTCACTTAACTGCCAAACTGTAGATAGCCAAAATAGGTGGGCTGAATACCATCAGTAATGTAAAAACATATGATGTCCCATTCTCCTTCAGAGAGAATCACTGTAAGATAAGAAGGAGCATACTATGGAAGGTAGAAATTGGGAAGACTTTTATAAAAGTTTTGGGATAGTCAGTGAAGTTCAGTGTAGAAAAGTTCTGTAGTTACAGCTGTGCTTGTGATTAACCCCTGTACAGACAGCTGGCACATACTTGTCTGTCTGTCCCCTGGTGGTGTATTCCATTGCTTGAAGATTTGAGTTCAAATCCATGAACTGAAGTAGCATTAAGCATAGTATACAAACTATTAGATCTACATCAGTTTCCACTTTTTGTTGCTGTTGCACATGCATAAATTTAAATATTCATTGAAGAGAAATCTGAATCAGGGTGGATACTCTAATCACTGGGCCATGGAAATGGGCTTGCTCGCTCTCTCTCTCTCTATATATATATATTTACATATATATGTACCCTGCATTGACTATGTAATTATTTTTTTTGAACAGCCTCAGTCTGAAGGACTGCTAGAGACATTTATTCCTGAAAAAAACACAGACAGGACTTTCCTTGAGAAGTAAAATAATTGCCCCAAGTCAAGGCAGAGTAGAAATTATATTCTTTAAGATAGCTCTAACTGCAGGGCCATTCATTATTCTAGACTCTCATACCTGCTCACCGTCCCAAGGAGCTTCAAGTTACGATCTCTCTGGTACTGGAAAATCTGTGGCTCCAGCCCCTTGTTTGTAAAAAGTGTTTAATATTTCCTGGTGAAGTTTCAGGGCTTTGGTGGGGATTAATTAATGTTTGCACAGTATCTCACCAGAGTGAACATGCTGAATAGTCACTAAATAATATTGTTAATACAATGATCCAGTGCCTTAATTGGGAAAAGGTATCAAGGGATGGGACTGATCTCAACTCTTTTACATTATTGATTCTATAAAAGACCTCATTAGTTCAAACAGGCAGAAATGCAATGGATTCTTTCAAAAAAAGCTTACCCAAGCTTTCATAGTCTGTTCTCAAGAACAATATTTCATAGCTTTTCCATTACCATTTACTTGTTAACAGAGTTCAGGGTGCAAAGTAATGCCATGGTTACAAGATTCCCACTCACACCGAAAATTCCTGTTCTTTTCACTGAGAGTATCTCAAATTGGCAACCTGATAAAGGTAGCAGGGCACGGTGGTAGGAGCAAGAGATCTGACATGCGTGATCTCAAGCAGCTTACTCAGTCCCATAGAAACTGGAGTTCTTCCAGTTCTAAGCTTTCTTATAGCCCGTGGTTATACAATCTGAACAATGTAATTTATTAGAAAAATGAACTTTTTATGAAACTGCTCTTTCCTATGCAAACTGAAAACTTCTCACAGTCTTTAGGCATGCATAAGGTAAAGCAACAATTCACTGTAGTTGTCAAAAGCAAACAGTGTAATCTTAACAGCAGACATATGGAAAACATGCCATGGTTAAATGGCAATCAAAAAGCAAAAGAAACGTGAACACAGAAGATGGGATGAACTTTTCTTTAGATGTAGATTTCAATAGGTAATGCATGCACAGGTTAAAGAGGGAAAAAAGAGATTACTGAAAAAAATTTTAACTCCTTTTTATAGGTAAGGAAAACATTTATTTTACACAAGTTTAACACTTAGCAGCTTATAATGTTAAGCAAAGAAAGATAACCGGCACTAAAGGATTTTTGTTTCGATAAATTATTGTTTTCTCTTCAGGAAAGGATATTGAGATGATGTTGAGAAAAAGGTTAAAACCTATAAAACAGGTTGCAGTTGCTAATAATGGTCTTAACCTGCCCCTGTAGCAAAGTAAACTGTAAGGGAGTTTAAGGGCAGGTTACAAAAACGTATTTTTATTTCACAGTTGATGCAGTCGTGCTTTTGATTAATTGGTGTGGTTCAAGTGTCAGACAGTAACTCATGGTTATTCAATCACTGTTGATTGCATGATCATGCCTTTATGACCTTATGTGTTGAAAGGAAGAAAGGATATAGCCATTCTTGAAATAAAAAAAAAAAGTAAAGGCCTGACTTTCCAGTCTGTCTGTCTTTCTACCTAATTATCCAGCCTTCCTCAGTGCGGTGTCTGAACACTTTGCACTTCTCAGGGGTTTTAGCTTCATATAACAGGCAGGACAGGAAATTCTCCCAAGGCCAGGCAAGGGGTTGGCAGTGGGCGCTTGGCTCTCCTCTTGCCAGATCCTTGCCTCGGTCACCTTCCCCAGGGCATCCAGGGATGGTCAAGTAGCCGCAGACTTTGACTGGAGCCGGTGGGACTTCAGTCAGACACAGGGCTTGGCCACACAGAATGAACTGCTACAGTGACGCTTACCCCTGTCATTAGCAGGCACAGGAACAAATAACCCATTTTAAATTCTTAGATGGACGTTATCCCAAAGACTGAACGTTTTCCTGTTTTCTGACACTAACCCTCAGAGATACACAGCTTACTTTTATTCTTGTGCTGTGGGGAACTGAGGTAGAGAACCTGCAAGAGATACTTTCAAAGGTTAGCTTTAACCCGGTGAGGCAAGGTCAAGCCTCTCAGCGGCCGCTGTCATCACTTCACATGGTCTTATCCTGGACCGTGTGAAAAAATGGTGGTTGGAGAGAAAATCTTGACTGCAGGTTATCCAAGTTAATCCTCTAACCACAGGACTATCTTTCTTCCATGTAATAAAAATATGGAGACAGGTGGTTTGGTATGGAAATATAAAACTCCTTTAAACATGCAAGAGGTTTTAAATACGAGATGCCCCAATATGTCTTTGTGTCACCCTCTTATTTGCTTATATTAAGACTAGCTGAACAGATATTGAAAAAAAAAAAAAGCCTTTTAAAAAATTTATTCCATAATACCTCTAAATAATTCCACTTGAAATCCTTCCTTTTCCTATACCCAGAAACTATA